TGAACTTCTGCAGAAACTGAGTAACATACCAAAAAGAATTTGTATGTGGTTGAAAAGACTAATCATTAATATGTAGGTGATTAGACTTCCATTAATATCACACATACTGTGCAGAGATCCAAGAACTGAAAAACTGTTTACGGTGCTGATATTAGCTTGCTAAGGTACAAGCTCTCCTTTACCTATGATATTATCAAGGGCTTTCAGCTACACAAGCAGCCCCATTTCTCAGGGACTTCCCCAGGTACAAGCTGTCATCACCACCACAAGCAGATTATTTTTGGATTCCTGCATATAATGAATATTGCAATGGTAAAGGCAGAGGGATAACTGAAACCTTATTGAAACAGTTGCAATTAATTGCATGTATGGACAATCAGTGGGACAACATTCATTTTTAACTATATAAATACACATTTTCCTGAAAACAAGAGTATTGATTCCACTTAAGACTGAAATAGATAAGAAAAAAACTTCAATTAAGACTATTGAAGGCACATAAACTTTGGTCCCATTTTGGTTTTTTCCTCCGTAAAACCCTGAAATTAAGTATTTTAGAAATTTTCAATTATTCTGAAATAATTCACAATTCCTAATGGTTACAATTTGCTCTGAAAAAAGATTGAGAACAGTCTTGTATATAACACACAGATCTTTAGACTACAATAGGAATTAAAGTTCATTTAAAGAAAAAGCCCTGTGCAATCTCAAATGCTTTGTTTCAGCACAATAGTAAAATATTTTAAGTCTGGCAGTTTTGCTCTCGTTAACAACAGACCAAGACAAAAGGTAAAGGCAAACAAAAATGGCTTTAAATGCAGTTGCACTTTCTTTCTAGTTTAAAAAATAGCAGTACATGTTAGTAGGAATACCAGAAGATAAAACAGCAAGTCTCAGAGACTCTTAGACGAAAGCTCCACACTTCCTTCTGTTTAATTAAATGTGTAGCAGAGGGAATGGACTTATTGATCATACAAACTCCAAACTGGTATATTTTTTCCAGTTGCAGCAAGTATTTACTTCTGCACGCAAACAGATGTTTTCAATCTGAAGAATAGGAAATACCAGGTAGGCAACTCTCCTTGGAAGGTGACCTTTTCAACATGTAGGCAAAGAATGGGTCTCAGTATATCAATGCACAAGGAATAGTGCTACCGAGGGGGCAAATGTACAAGATAAAGTCAAATTAAGAAAAAGCAGAACAATTTTAAAACTTTAAAAGTTTCAGAAGTTTCTGTGAGGTTCAGCTAATTTACAAAGTATTTGGACTGGCAGAAAATATACTCTAAGCACTCTGAACATAACACCATAGGTGGAGAAGTTTTGTTCTGGCTAGTCTCTGCAGTATGGCCTTTACCTATTAAAATTTCTGTGTTTAAGCCAAAATGGAAAAACAAAATTCTGCATCTGAATGTTTTTGGTACGTGTATTCAGGATCTGACCAATAAAAATAAATTTGAATATTCTGCATTAGAACTTTGGGACTTAAATTAACTTGTAATTAAGAGTCTATATTTCAAAGATCACAATCTCTCATAAACCTTGATCATGCAGGGAACTCTGCCTACACAGAGCTACTTAGGGATGCCAACCTTTCAGGATTGTCCTGGAGTCTCCAGGAATTCAAGATTAATCTTTAATTAAAAAGTATATCATGTGATGAAACCTCCAGGAATATGTCCAACCAAAATTGGCAACCCTAGATCTGCTCCTTGTCAAATTAAGGACTTAGGTGTGTAGATAAATTTCTCTGTTTTGGCCTGATCTCTCCCTAAAGAAATATCTTACTAAACGAGAGACTATTTTTGTTTGTTTGGAAATACACAAGGAAACAAAATAAATTTGATAGAGCTTTAACCAGAACTCTCAATTTAAAAGCAAACAAATTAAAATGTACTGCTATTTTTGAAATTTGTGATATGTCTGCACCTTATGTAAAAGAGTCCTCCCACAGAGACATAATCCTTAACAAGTACACAAACCTAAAAATAAGTTGATAGGGATAACACTACAGATCAACAGCAAAAATGAATTACTGAAAATACAGGATAAATGTATGACAAAACAAGAGCACACAGAAGATTAGAAATATCCATCCCCCAGATTTTTTCTTTTAAAGAAACAAAACATCAGAAATCTGTGCCAACATATAAGCTGTAGGCCTCTACAATTCAAACTGCAAATAGTCCAGAACTGACTTTATCCATATACTAAGCGTAGCTACATTTTTAAAGTTAACAAATCAAACATGTTCTTCCATTTTTAATACCACACCAAAAATCCCTCATCTTTTCAGATTAGTTCAAGCATTCCCACCTTCTGTTATAGGGTCAATAAATTAAAACGCATGTCATGTGCATATTTATATACACACATAGCATATTATACACACAGTATACTCACACACGCCACTCAATATTATACATGCCAATACCAATACTCAAACTTAAAAGGTTGCTTTTCCTGGCTTCAATTACATTCATCTCCAATATAATTCCTTTCCCTGGTAGCAGCAATTCTTTAAAAACAAAACAAAAACAAAAAAACCCCCAGTGTTGGCCAAGTTACATGGGCAATGTTTTAATAAATTATGCAGATGTCATCAACAAGTGCAGTAAGGAGGCATATTCATTATGGCCCCAATTCAGCAAGGTACACATGCCTGAAAGCCCTATGAATAGTCCCACTGACATCAGTGAAACTACTTGTGATGTAAGATGTGTTAAATACCTTGTTGAAGAAGGGCCTATCTGAAAATGAAGGGTGCTCGATTCTACTAGAAAAATCAACCTAATGCAGTGTTTTATTTTAAGATAATGTTGTGGAACCAAGGAATCCCACACATTTTTGTGAATTCTGAAGAAACCGGCTTGACGTTTTCCCACATGGGATCAGCTACTTGAAGGTGGCAAGAGAGAGGATCACAAATGCCAAAAATTTCCCCTCATACTTCTCCCTCGTCTCTTTACATCTTTCAGTAAATAAATATATTTGAAGATATTTACTCATCGTGTGCACACCTCCTATGCAATATACACATCTATCTCGATAGACATACCTGCTGTCAAACAATGTTTATATTACAATAAAATGTATAGAGTTTTGCCAACTTCATCATTCTGATCAGCCTACTGTACAACATAAAAAGCTATATAACTTAGGAAGCCAAGTCAATAACCTGCTCCTTATCCTATCATTCTACAGAAATTTTTGAAACAATGTATCTAATTTCTGTGTCAGGATGGTTACTCAATTTTTGCTACAGAGACCATCACCCTCCTATAAGTGTGGATCTATAAATTTGCAGAACTGTCCCTGTCTGACAATCCTCAACTGGGATTAGGGAAAGAAAATATAGATCTAATGAAAAACCAAGATGAATGAGTGCCACAGACCATTACAGCAGAAAACTTTACATCTTTTCTACTTTCATAGCAGTTACAAAAGCAGAAATAAACAACCATTTATGTTTGAGAGGAATATCTCTTTAAAAACTCAATCCAATTTCTGCGGACATAACTTCTAAAAAGGATATTTCTTTTTATAAAAAACTTAACATTGTTTAATACAATCATAGAAATAACTTTAAAATTTATACCTACATTCAACAAAAATAGTAAGAATTGCATCTCAACTTGCTCTCCAAACAGAAGTGGACATTCAGTATTGAAGTTATGATATTTATGAAGGAAAGCAAGTCAACCTTTTAGTACTGTAAACTCAGTACTGAGGGGAAAAAAGGAATCCTGAGACGAAATATTATGAAACATTAGATAAGATCCAGAAACTGGAATTAATTTTTTACAGCCAAATATTGGTGTCAGCCAACTGTAACCAGGTAAATTTGAAGAGGCCTACAGGATGTGCACTGAGTTATCCTTCTTCCCACCTCCCCATCTCTATACCAAAGCACCAAAAATTTGAATTCAGACTATTACTTATTGAAAAAACATTTTTAAAAATCACAATGAAAACACTTAAAAACTAATCGATCAAGAAAAAAATCTCTCACCAAGCCCACAATACAGTTTTCAAGATACTTTAGATAAAACTCTAAGCTATTGTATCATAAGCACATAATAAGGCACGTAATAAGAAATTAAGTAAATACACAGTAATTCTGATTTAAGTATTAGAGATTATAGTGGTACAAAAAACCCTTGAGGTTAATTTTTTTTTCTAAAGACGACCTTACCAAAAATAACTTTTTAAAAATTTGTCAAACCATATGATAGACCTGAATATTTTCCTTAAGACTGTAAACATTTTTTTTCTGAAAAGAAATGTTAAAAACTGTGTGAAATCAGGACTATTTTCTCCTTTCAATTGCTCCAAAGTTATATTACACAACATCATTTCATGGTAAAAAACCCAAAAATCTGAAGCTTTCATTCCATAATTCTATTCCTAGCTACAAGTGTCAATGATACCACATTTCAAAAGATCTCACTTATTTTGATTTTACTTTACTCCAGGGAGAGACAAGGCACTGCCTTTCCTCCAATAATTTCACCCCCACAAACAATTGCAGATTTTTAAAAAATGCATAAGCTATTCAGAAAGATCAGCCAAAATATGGATATACCATTCAATAAAATATTGTTCAATAGCTATTCATTGTATAAGCTTGCTTTTCATTGAGAAACTCAAGCACTCTTTCCCATTCAAATTAGTGTTTAATCCATACAGAGGAGTAGATTTAGTATTTCATTTGAAGCATTCTTTGAATGGTATATTTTAAATAGGCTTGGAAATGTCATGTAAGGCTAATTTGGAACAAAAACTAAAAGGGTGTTCCTGAAATATAATTCAAAGGAGGGAATTTGACTATAAATATTGTTGCTAAAGATTAATTCCATAGAAGAAACTGTTTCTGGAGGAATATTAAACCTATGACCACATTACTAGCAGAAAACAAATGGAAAGATCATCCCTTGATTCTTTACTGTGTACACGAATACACATGAACATCAAACTCAGCATGAGTTTCTTTTTTTTTCTTTTTTTTTTTTTAGAGGCAAGAGTTGGTCTTAGCTGTTTCAGTCTCTGTCTGAAGGTTTTACTGAAACTGTGGTGCAGTCTTAATAGGAAAATTCACAGAAAAGTCAGATTGTAGATTTGGAGAAAGAAACTCTGAGGTGATGGTTTTCCCCAAGGTCATGATTATGAAGCTCAATGAGAGCCTGGATTGCTTCTTCCACAGTGCCCAACTGGATGAGAGCCATTTTGCGATCTTTCCTGAAGTTCAACAGAAGAACAAAATTAATTCTAACCAATTCCTGATTACACCAACACCTCCCAAAAAACCTCTGATAGCGTTTTTCAGCCACTGTATTATCCGCTGAGACTTTTGTATAATAAAAGAATCAGAACAAGAGATGTACCTACTAAAACAAAAATAGAAGCAGATAGAACTATATAAATCTTCAAGCAGATGGCCTGCTGTGGTCCCACTTTGTTCCAGGATCCTGTTGCATATCAAAAGCTAAAAAGGATAAATATATATGGCTGGAAGGCCTCTAAGGAGAATTTAAGTGTTGGCCATTTGAAAGGAGTCATTCTTGCCTATGAATCGGTATTCAATCGATGCCCCAAAATAGTGTTTCAGGACACAGTACTGCTGCAACTGGTATCTTTCAGATGAGATTTTAGACCCCATAGTTCTTTAAAATGAACAGGGGAGTTATTTCTAGTGCTCTGTCTAAATTTCAATTTGGGCATCTACATCCTGTCACAAAAGAGTCCCATGCAATACTAATTGGATACTATATTGTACTTCATTTTCTGTCAGTACTGTACAGTGTTAGTATCCACGGTTTAACAAAGCCCTGGCTGGGATGGTTTAGTTGGGGTTGGTCCTGCTTTGAGCAGGGGGTTGAACATTCCTGAGGTCTCTTCCAACCCTAATCTTCTATGATTTAACAGTTTTCTAAAACTCCCTGCAAAGGTAGTTATATCTTTGTCCATAAAATTTCTTCACATACACAGTTTCTATACATAAAAACAGTTCACTATCCATCAGGATTAAAGTTTCTATAATAAAATTATTAAATGCTCTAATCTGCTCTGAGAACTTACTGGAAGAATTTGAAGGCTTTCACAGTACATCCAGTATCTGCAAAAAGGTTCTTCAGGTCATCAACAGTAACTGAAGGTCTAAAACGAAAAAATGCTCCAATTAATTATAATCCTGTTATAGATTTTATACTCTCTCTGTTCTTTTGAACTTCCATTTCAGGCTTCCTGTGTAAAGTTTGACAGTCCACAGTTCAAATTTTGCTTTGATCAATTTAAGTCAGTACAAACTCTGGCCCCATGTGTCGAGACTTTTATATTGTGACTTAACATTTCAGTGTTCTACAAATTCTTAAGACAACATTCAGGCTTTCCCCTGCATTGTTCACAAATGCAACTGCACGGAATTCATTCAGAACTCAGATTTCTAGAATTATAAGTTAAGATAATTTGGACATTTTTACTTTTCGAAGTACGTTTTATTTAAAATGTGGTCCTCTGAATATAGCTTTGGTAAGGCTTCCCCCCACCCACCTCCCTTTTTGAAACAATGTTCCTTTAAGGTAATGTTATGTACAACCACAGTTGCAGTGTTAAGGAAGCTTGTCTGAGAATTGATGGCATTAACTAGCTCAGTTTTTCTTTTTCTTGCTCACTTTCTGGTTCTGATGTTCTAGCACAATGCTGCAATATTAGAGGTTACTAATTCTCCAGAAAGATAGCAAGCTAGTTTGGATTCCATCTCCTAATGTTCAGTCTAAATTCTGTCAGATTCCCTTTAAAACGGTAGAGAAAAAAGAAAAAGAAACAGTGGCTTAAAACAATCACATGTGTATTACACCATTCCTACATGCACAGTCATTACATAGAAATAATGTTCATTATATAATATGACTATCGTATGTTATTTAACAAAGTCTAGTAACAGGTTTTCAAGAACTTTGCCTTCAGCACAGATATACAATGTTGGATATGGTCTGCAAAAAATATCTGTGCAGCAGAGAAAAACAGGTTGTATCCACGTAGTTATTGCTGAGTGCACTATAAGGACTCGGTCTTCTTAAAACTGAATTTGTCCCTTTCACGAGTAACAGAAGTAACTCTCACAGGACTTTGTCACTGTTAAAGCTATATTTGGAAATGAATGCACTGAAAATTCTTTGGTTAAGCATTGAGCATGGGGAAAAAGAATCACTAAATCTTAGCAAACAGAAAAAGGCAAAGGAAAATATTCAGACCTGTGTCAAGCTACAGATGTTTAAAAAAAACAACTCATTTTTTAACAGACAAGTTCCTTTTCAAATTGAGTTGTGCATGTTTGGATACTTACGGAATGTTGGAGAGATGCAGAGTAGCAGATGGAGGGAAGATATTTAGGAAGTTTTTAGATCCAGGCTTCTTAAAGCGATGTAAAGGGCTATTGCTATAGTCCTTAGTCAGACCTTGGTCCTCTTGTCCCTCACGAGGAAGCTGAACAGTTTGATGCTTTGAAAGAGTTGCCCGGAGCACCTTTCCATAAAGTCTCTGTCCATTTAAGTGGCTCATGGCTAGAACATAAATGTTGACAGTAATATCTGAACAGGAAAACAGACTAAGAAAAAATCCCCACACCGTTTGAATGACTAAAATTTCAAGCTTATTCAACAGTGCCATTTATAGCTGGATATCAGCTTCTCAAGTATAACAGCAACTATTAACAACATTAAATAAAGCAAAAAATTCTAAAGATAACCATAATGGATGTAATACAACCTCTAACCTTAATTTAATGATAATACAAAGATTCTTCTAATCCAATTTTTCAGTTTTATTTTTGATTGAATATTTGAATATTTAAAATATAGAAAAAATACTTTCAAAATCTTTAACTTATTTTGGCACAGTATTCCTAGTATCACACCAAAGTAGCTTTTCCTCTGAGTACTACAGAAGAGACTCACTTCTTACTTTAGAACAAAAAGCTTAGTAACATGTTAAATTAGGTATTTTGATATTCCTGTGCCAGTCACTGAGACAGTGCATGCACTAAAATTACTAATGTCTACAACTCACTATTGTCAACAGAAATTCAAATATACTCATCCCATTATTAACCTATATTGTAGATAACTCTGCATTCTTATTGCTTTGGCAAAATCCTGAGCAAACAAATGAGTTTTAAACTCATTTTTGTACTGATGGGAGGCTGGGTTTTGCTAGTGGGTTTTACTACTGATTTGGTTTGCTTGGTTTTTTTTAAGTTATGTCAGAAGTGCCTGAAGTAACAGAACATTTTATTGAAAAAAAGTTATGATCTGTAGCCAGTTAGTATGTTTAAGGCAGTAATTGAACAGTAATTCTGAATAGCGAATTGTGGAATGGCAGACACCTAGAGCTCTTCTGAAACTCCAAATCAGCTGTTAATTTTGTTAACTGCTGTAATGGAAACTGCAGATATCAGTACAACAAACATGCCCATGAAAATCTGGTTATTAGTACCTAGTTGAGCCTGGGTTGCATCTGCCATCTGAACCAAAGCATTTTCTTTTTTGTTAAACATGATCTTTACTCGATGTACATCACCATAGACACCTGTGGAAATCCAAAAAAGGTACTTTCAATGTATTAACTTGTCTGGAGCATCTGATTATCTATAGTGCAAAATACTCAAGTGTCAAGTTTATATCACTGAAGTTCATCAGCAAAAATGGAGAATAATCAAGCTATTTAAAACAGTTGGGCAAGGAGCTTTGTATGAAGAGCTTTCAAGGTTATGTCTCGGTCTGCATTTTTCTGAAGGAGTGAGGAATTGTGAATAAATGTGGCATCTTTTTCAGTGCTAATTTAACACCCACAGACCCCGGATCATCTGCGGGCAAGATTGAACCCGGGACCTCTAGAGCTAAATGCATGTGCCTCTACTAAATGAGCTAAAAGATACATGACCCTTAGCTAAAGCTGTAGCAGGCTCATTAATCTCTAAGTGGTTTCGGTGCCACTAGAGGGGACAGAACACCACACCCAGGAGGTGTGTGGGTTACACTAACATCATAGACAGTTATTTTTAACTGCTAAATTTGACAACAATAAAAAAAGACAGGATCATTCAAGATACCAACAAAACATGAACAAAGAATCTGTGTATGTATGAAGCCCTCACTTTATTTCCTCTGACGTTGTCTCCCCACCCAACTCTGGTGACACAAAGGAAGGGGAGGCAAACATGAAAGGTAGCACATACGCAGAATCCACTAAGGCATCATATCTAGGTTAGCCCTCCCAGGCCGATCCACCATTTTATTTTATTTTTTCTGCTTTGAAATTTCCCCCCCCTCTTTTTCTTCTGTGACTACTGATCCAAGCTATTGTCATATTAAACCCAGCATAATCTCTTTGGATTTCCTTGAGATTGAAAACATGCAAGCCTGCCTTGTATGTAAGCGATTTGACAGGACAGGGTAACTATGTTTTTCTGGATAAGGAATAAAAATGAAATTTTAATTAAATCAGTTCATCAGATGAACAACAATGCTGATCCTGTGATTTCTCACAGTACATTTCAAATAATGTTCTGTAGTAGTAGAGGCAATAAAAACCTTACCAAATAGGATAAAGAGCCCATGAGGTGTGATAGCCTGTATAAATGACAAGACAAAACACATTTTAACACCATTTGAATATATAAAAGGAATTCATGCCGTAAGTAATTATAGCCAACTATTTTGGTTACTAAGTACTACTGCAAACTGGTAAAAACATCATTCTTGGGTTTTGTTTTGTTTTTTAAAGAATAATTCTTTTCATGTTTTCCCCAATAATTTCATCCGTTTGCCCCAATGGACGCAGCATAATGCGTTTTAACACGCAAAATGTTTTCAATAGGCAATTATAAAATTTGCAATAGTTCACAACCCTATATGCTCCATTCTTCATCTTTTGCAATAGTAAGAACTTCCCTACTATCGAGCAGCGGGTCTCAAACTGTAGGTCATGTCCCCAAAGTGGGTCGCGACCCCATTTTAATGGGGTTGCCAGGGTTGGTGTCAGACTTGCTAGGGCTGGGGCCAAAGCCCAAGCCCCACTGCCTGGGGCCAAAGCCCCAGGGCTTCAGCCCTGTGTAGCAGGACTCAGGCTTGGGCTTCAGATTACAGATCCCCTTCCCAGGCGGAAGCCCTTGGGGGTCAGCTTTGGCCCCCTGGCTTGGGGCATCGGGTGGGCTCAGGCTCCAGTTCCCCCTTCCTGGGGTGGTCTTGTAATTTTTGTTGTCAGAAGGGGGTCACGGTGCAGTGAAGTTTGAGAACCCCTGCTATAGAGTATGCAATTACTTTAAACTCAGTGTAAGTAGCTGCTAAATGAAAATAATCTGCATGAACCAATTCTTGTTTTCAAACAAGTTCTCATTCACTAAAGCACTCAAGCTTATGCTTTAATGTAAAGCACATGCTTCAGTGTTTTATGAACAGGGGTGGTTTGTTGAATCAAAATCTAGAGGAACATAAAAACAACGAGGAGTCCGGTGGCACCTTAAAGACTAACAGATTTATTTGGGCATAAGCTTTCGTGGGTAAAAACCCCACTTCGAAAGCTTATGCCCAAATAAATCTGTTAGTCTTTAAGGTACCACTGGACTCCTTGTTTTTGTGGATACAGACTAACATGGCTACCCCCCCGATAGAAGAACATAGAGCATAAGGGACACAATTATGGGCATTATTTCCTGTAGACCAGAAAGATAACTATAAAATTACAAATGGCCATTTGGGGTACAGATTCGCTTTCTCTCTTAATCATTCCCCATCTCAGCCTAATGCTATCCTCAAAAAATGACGCCTGTTCTAGGGAGGTATTTGTAGGAAGAGTAAACAAAGTCCACTCAGAACCAAATATCCAGTAAGTTATGTGTCCACTATTACAGTTATAAAATGTTTAGTGTTAATTTATAAATGGTGCCTAACCGTAAAAACAAGGCTCATGTACAAAATTTGGGGCGGGGGGAGGCGCAAAAAACCAACAGTTACCTACCAATCATAACTGCTGTTCTTCAAGATGTGTTTCTCACGTCCATTCCAATTAGGTGTATGTGTGCTGAGTGCACAGTAGCCGGAAAGTTTTCCCCCTAGCAGTACCCGTTGTCAGCTTAGGCGCCCCCTGGAGTTGCACCTCCATGGCACTGTATATAGGGCCCTGCGAACCTGCTGCCACTTCAATTCCTTCTTGCCAGCCTTGCTCTGACAGTGGGTCTTGGAATGGACGTGAGCAATACATCTCGAAGAACAATTACCAAAGGTAGGTGACTGTTTTTTCTTCAAGTGCTTGCTCATATCGATTCCAATTAGGTGACTCCCAAGCAGGAACTCTGAGGCGGGGTCGGAGCTCATGGGTTCACTGATTGAAGCACCGCTCTGCCGAAGGCTGCATTATCTCTAGCCTGCTGAGTAATAGCGTAATGCGAGGTAAAGGTGTGGATTGAGGATGACGTCACAGCCCTGCAAATTTCCTGGGTTGGAACCTGGGCCAGGAATGCCACTGAAGATGCCTGTGCCCTCGTGAAGTGCGCCGTCAGCATGGGAGCAGGTACTTTCGCTAGACCGTAGCATGTCCGGATTCATGATGTAATCCGTGATGAAATCCTTTGAGAAGAACTGGAAGCCCTTTCATTCTGTCTGCTACTGTGATGAATAGTTGAGTGGATTTTCGAAGCGGCTTTGTCCATTCAATATAGAAGGCGAATGCCCAGCGAACATCCAAAGAGTAGAGTTTTTGTTCCTGGCTGTTTGCGTGTGGCTTGGGGTAGAAAACTGGGAGAAAAATATCCTGATTAACATGAAACTGGGAGTTGACCTTCGTGAGGGAGGCTGGGTGTGGCCGAAACTAAACCTTGTCCTTATAGAATACTGTGTAAGGCGGCTCAGACATTAGGGCCTTAAGCTCAGATACCCTCTTGGCAGATGTTATTGCCACCAGGAATGCTACCTTACATGAGAGAGAGAGCAAAAGGCATGTCACACGTGGTTCAAGGGGGGTGGGGGGGGGCACATTAAATTGGAAAGAACCGGTTAAGGTCCCAGGCTGGGATTGGCTGCTGTATTTGAGGGTATAGCCTGTCAAGTCCTTTAAGAAAGCATCCAACTATTGGGCTGGTGAAGACCGATTGGCCCGCCATGCCTGGGTGAAAGGCGGAAATGGCAACCAAGTAGACTTTTACTGATGACAAAGCAAGCCCATCCTGCTTCAGGTGCAGATGGTAGTTCAAGATAAAATTCGAAGCTGGAGCCCCCGGTAGAATACACTTTCCTCCTGAAAAGGTCCAGCTTCTTCGCATCTTGGGCTTTAGGTGATGGACCTTGGTGCCCTTGACGTTCCTGTTCATTTGTCGCCGCCACCGCCACCACTAAGGAGTCTGGTGGTGGGTGCGAATAAAAGTGTTCAAATGCTTTAGAGTGGACAAAATACTTCCTCTCTGTCCTTTTCACCATCGGGGGCAGGAAGGTGGCGTTTTCATGGTATCTTGTATGATTTTAATGAGTGACAAGGCAACTCAGAGCAGGAGTCAACAGTGCCAGGCTAGGTGGTGCCGTGCTTATGTGGCCCAACGTGGATCTCACTGTGCCTGAGTCCTTCCATCCCGGTGTGGGTGAACAGCACCCTGTCTGGCTTCTTGAGGGACACTAGGAACAGTACCACGCACTGCCATGTGCGGAGTCCCTGTAGAGGGAGCTCTGCTGGTGCTGAGCGTCTCTATCCAAGTCCTTTTTTGGTACCAAAGTTTCCCATGTCGATGCCAGAGTACTGTGCACCAATGCTGAGGAACTAGGCGTTGGTTTAGCCGAACCCAGCTCTGAGTGAGGACGGAGGACGGCCTCCCTCAGAAGGATCGTCAACCGTTGGCCCCTCTCTTTTTGAGTCCTGGGGCAAAATCCCCATAAAGCTCTTGCAATGATCCTTCTGGTGCAATTCCCCCAGACACTTCAAGCAGGAAGTATGAGGGTCGCTCCTGGGCACAGGCTTGTTACAAGCTATGCAGTGTTTAAGCTCCAGGGACCAAGGCATGCCCCGGTACCCCCAAACAATTCCCTACCAGAATTCTAACTATATAATGACTGAACTAAGTACAACTACTAACTACTGATCTAACTGAACAAGCGTCCCGGCTAACCGTCACAGGCAGTAAGAAGGAACTGAAGTGGCGGCAGATCAGCAGGGCCCTATATATGGTGCCATGGAGGTGCGACTCCAGGTGGCACCTAAGCCAAACCGACGGGTATTGCTAGGGGAAAAACCTTCCGGCTACTATGCACACGGCATGCACACACCTAATTGGAATCAACATGAGCAAGCACTTGAAGAACAACGGTTTCTCTCTTTTTAAACCAGAAGAGGAAACACATTTTATATTCCAAATCTGACCGTTTTAGAAACTATGAACAGTAACAACAGACCGCCATAGGAAATGAAGCCCTTTTCCTTAAAAATATCTTGACGCAAGCTCCAACTTCAGCTATGCCGGCTTGCCATTTGTGAGTAAAAAATAAATACATACTTAGTGTGAGAGGGCAAGGTGTGCATCCTAAATTCAGGCATCATGCAAGAGTTACTTCTGTTGCTGGAGCTCCCGCTGCAGGCTTAACAGCATAGCTAGGAGCTACATGCAGGAAGGGGATGAAGTTGAATCGTATGCATGCAGCCATGAGAAGAATTTGTCCCAAACACAGTAACTATTGAAGCACAAATGGTAACCTTATAACAAAGTCACCAACAGGGGTACTCTCCAAGTAGCACATGTCCAGCGTTCTGAGTTTTAAATGAAATTTTTAAAAGGTTTGGCAATATCTGGTTAGCTTACACTGTAGCATGCATTCAAAGTTCTTGGCATTGCCTTTTTAGAATTGCAATGAATAGTGAACAAAACAGCAGTGCTACAAATATCTTTGTTCTATGTTTCACATGTGCATATGGTTTAGCAGAATATGTTCACTTAGGAATGAGAGAGTCATCATCTTTGGTTGTCAGCAGCAAGAGGCACTCACAGCTTTTACTACAGTAATCAGGGTACAACCCAACATTTGTTTTAAAAAGTTAGAAAGATAACCTAAGACCTATCTCCTTTCTTCCCTGTTCCCACTCAGTGGGATTGTGTACAATGGATGTAGTAACTTCTGCGGTTTCCAAATGCAAGGAGGATTAGTGTAGGACTAACCATGCAGAAAGTTTAAATGTTTGAGAAAAGAAAGCTCATTTTCATAACCTTGCCCCTTCCCTACCCAAAGAGCTCTGCAAGGTTCTCTGTGGAAATCCTGGTAGGAGGAATTTTGTTTGGCCTTGTTTAACCGACTGATTTTTTCCAAGAATAAGATTATCCACTTTGAAGCCAGTATTTGTAGCCAGACAGGCCTTGGCCAGCCCACAAGGCTTGTGTATAAATTTGTTCTGGATACACTGCAGCACAAACAGACTTTTTTTTTAACTACTGCAACATTGCTCACAATCTGTGTTTCCCAATGCTTTGCACGAAGACAAAGTAACTAGCTGGAGATCATGAAGAGAATATATACAGTACTGTTTCTTTGCTTTGTCACATTTGTAGCATTGTGTCATTTCAGGTACTTAAAAGGCATGTGTACAATCAGAATTTTGCAAATAAAGATTGTTAAATATTGGTAATGTGAAGAAAAGTGCTTCTATTTCAGTGACATCCATCAGAGAATTCTGGAGATACGATGAGTTAGGTGAACCTGAAAGAAGTGTATGAAATAGCAAGCAGCTATTTTACATTTCTATGATATAGTTAGTCTGTGAACAGACAAATGTACAGTATATCAAAACAGACTCAATGAAGAAACTTGTAAATAAGATCTGACATCTTTTTAATACATATTTTACACTTTTTATATTTATGCTAAGTTTCCAAAGAACTGGGGATAAGTTAGTGAGAAATTCTACCTATGCCACCTTCAGATAAAACAAATACTGAAATCGTATAGCTATATAATATTTTGGTCTGATAATTTTACTGCAAATTTATAAAACTAAACAATAATCATAAGGTAGGTATATTTAAAAATACACAACAAATCTACATATTCACATTTATCAATTGGTTTCAAAAAAGTGGTTTCTGGAAATGTCAGTATGTCAAAGGACACTCACAAGCCTGTATGTTACTTTTGGATTCTAAACCACCTGTGATTTTTTTCCCCAGGAAAAATGGGAAAGTTTGAAAAGAACCCACAAGAGTTTAGGGCACTCATGGTCACCCTTCTATCTCATCCTTAACTACCTGCTCTCACCCATCTCTTCTTTGTGGAGAATACTCTGCCCTCTGTAAGGGTGAGAGTGGCACAAGGAGGATCCTCATTCCCTAAAGGGACCACACCTGTTTTACAATTATTCAACAGTTGCCTGCCTTTGCTTTGTGTTTCAGTGTATTTGATTATGTAAGATGTGTATTCTCTTCACTTTGGAGGTCTACTGACTGCAAGAGCTGCAGACTCTCAATAGACTGCTTCTTCCAATTAGTATGTCCATTGTTATACCCCCATGTTATATTTGTTTCTAATGAGGATGTCCATGTTCTTCTGAGATTCTATGAAGCTAGCATATGGTTCTAATCTTTGCCAATATTGCGAATTACTTAGAGCAAGTGATGTGGCTGCGGTGCCATTTCTGACATGAACAAAGTAAAAAAATATTTGTTATCCTTCTTTGTTTAACTTCCAATTTAAATTTTAGGACAAATATTTTAACATATATTCTATGTGAATATCAAACTACCAACTACTTGCATTGTTTGATTCCACCCATTCAAGCTTACATCAGGATTGAGGTTGCTGACAAGCAAAACAGAATTTCCTGGAACACCAGCAACTCCAGGAATAGCCATCCGTCCAGTCACTGCAGATGTGGTGATTGCGAGAGGACCAAGTGCTCCAGGAAGAGATGGGACTGAAAGACCTGAAAAACGATACTCAAATTATGGCCCAAAGGAAGTGGAAAAACTATTTCAGAAGACTAAAAAAACCTGCTCAAATTATGTAACATTGATTTATTTAAAAATAAATTCAACACCCAATAATAAAAGGCTCCATAGGCATATTTTAGTTTCTCCCAAAAGACTGATATATACCAATGGTTTCCAGCTCTTTTCCTGGGACAAAAACTCCAACCCCAACAAAAATCCACCCACATTTTCTTAGCTCAGTCCCTTCTGTCATACAACACTGTCTAGCAAAAACAGACAGATCTCTGGGTTGGAGGCTAGGGGGACACGCATGGACAGGTGGGCTATTTTGGGAGTTGAATTAGTGCTACTAGAGCTTGCTTTTTAATTGTAGGCTTTTGGGTGTTGCACTTCTCATGATGGTCACTCCAAAATACAAACCCCCACTACCTCAAAATAAAGCGACAGTGACATTGCAAGGAGATATTGAGTAATAAAGTAGTAAGCATGTATATCAAAAAGTTAAGCAAAAAAGCCATAGTAATCTATCATTTTTACAATTAGACTTCTAGTTTTGTCACTTTCAAATAGCCCTTTTTACTATGTGTAATTTCTTAGTAGACTCAGAAGCCAGAGCACAAGTGACAGTGTAGCTCATGACTAAGGTTAAGATTTTGTCACGGATATTTTTAGTAAAACTCAGGGATAGGTCAGGGGCAATAAAGAAAAATTCACGGAAGCCTGTGACCTGTCCCTGACTTTTACTAAAAATATCCCACAAAATGGGGAGCCCAGCTGCAGGGTCCCCACACCGCTTGCAGAGGTTGGGTAGCTGTGGATGCAGCTCCCAGCTCTGGGCCCCCCCACCGCCTGTGAGGGCTTGGAGCTCCAGGGTCCCCTAGCATGGCACCGCGGTGACCCTCCCCGCGGTGGCCGGGAGCTGCGGGAAGGCCCCCACTGCCCAAGGCGGCTGGGAGCTGCAGCCTTGGGCAGCTCTGGGGGCCCCCGGTGCCCGTGTTTGCTGGGAGCTACGGCCCTGCCCACCTGGAAACTCTGGGGGGACCCCACAGCTCCTGGCCGACAGGGCTGAATTCACGGTGTTCGCTGGAAGTCACGGATTCTGTGACTTCCGCAGCCTCCGTGAATAAAAACATAGCCTTAATCATGACAACCAATAGTACATGTAATTCCTACAGTTTATTTAAATAGTAATACTTTGGGTAGTATGCTATGCAAACAGAGGTAGACTGACTGCTTTTTATGAATACTTATAGATCTTGATATTGCTGCATTATCATTCTGTTTAACTAGCTGGATTTCAACAATTTAAGGTAGTCTTCAAATTTACCAAACAAAAAATAAAGACTTACCTGCAGCTTGATGAAAGCCAATGGCTGGGGCAAATCCAGCAGCCCCGGCATATGGTGAAGAGATTATTCCTGGGGTGCCTAGAATTCAGACATCTAATTAAAATCTATTCCAACACATTTAGCAAATAGAAAAATTATCAGTACAGAGGGACATTTCATATCACTGACATTTCAGAATAATACTCTTCCAAAGGTTTTACTGTATTTTACAGAACTCAGGTTCAACAACCAAAGTTGATGTTTGAAAAAAAATATTTACAAGGTTAAAAGATACAATCAGAATTTACACTGTTTGAATTAGATACATTTCCTAAAATAATATGGATATTAGTGGGTATAGTGCAATACTGTAGGAATTACCACATTGACAACTGAAGCAGACACCTAAGCTCTGACATAAATTATTTTGGCAGCCTACTCCCCTCTTATCTGTAGTCACAAAGTGTCCCTTATACAAACAATGCAAAGCATTAATCACATCACATTTTATGCTTGTAATACATGCACTGGTGCATTATACTGACAAGTTTTGGCAATATGGGTACTAATCATTCATTCACAGTTCTAGTTTCCATTATCATTCATTACTGAAGAAGCAATGACAAAGGGCTTTTATTCTGCCAGATGGGACCTGTATGTTGGACACCGATACCAGACAGACACGCAAGAATAGAATACAGCTAAAACAGGAAGATCAGGAATTCTAGCATATGTACAAAATCCTCTGCTATCTAGTTGACTGCAGATTCTAAGCAAACTCTCAGAAAATCTATTATGCCTTATGGGAAAAAAAGCTTTTTCAAATCAAATTTATTCCAAAATGCATCCGAAGTTTTTAACGCGAGATATCTACAAAAATGTTTAACATTCAAATGGTTTTAAATACAGCAGTGTTTTTAGTAATTACTTAAACTGCAATATCCAAATCCTAAAATAAGGGCTAAAATCGCTAAACGTACATACTGATCATTATCCACCACTGTTGCTGGCTTTATCATTGCAGCCTCCACTTGCTAAATAACAAGCCCAGGGTTCCAGCTTCTTCACTATCATTTCATTTTATCCTCAGACACTTGAGCTCTGTCTGTACTACCACTTCCACTCATGCTACCACTGTTGGAAAATCTGGACCCCTATTTCTCCAGACAGGAACACCTCACCTCTGTCACTTCATATGTGCACGTATCTAATTCTCACCATCTTTTCAAATAAAGGTCTCTGTGCCAGATGCTAGATATTGGACAATTTTAATTTTTTACTGCCCGCAGTAGTAAGGCTTCTTGTGATTTTGGACATATTAAACCCTTAGGGTTAGATGACAGTTCCACACTTTTTGGTGCAGCTGCACTGGTGGAGAATTATGGGTTATTTGTTAAGTAGACAGGACCTGGTGGTGTTTGTACCAGTCCCAGCACACAAATATGTAATGTATACCCTGTATCATATCCAAGTCTTTTCTTAATCTATTGTACCATAATCACTCTTCCCCCTCTTGCTGAAGTTTCAGGCAAATTAGCTAAACCTGATTCAACACAACTTACCAGGTTTGTAACAGGCACAATCTTAAGCATTGAGAGACTCCAATGCTTCCATGATACCGTACTGATGACTTGCAATAATTTTGTTTTTAAACAGAAATGGTTCTTATTTTATTACACAAATATTCAATGGCTTCATTTTTACTTACTTTAAAAACAGTGCAACTGCCAAATAACAAGTACAGCTAACTTCATTATGTGCATACTTCCTAATAAAACCCCTACAAGCAAACAGCAAAGAGCGTCATCTCTCAGGACTACATCAGAAAGTTATACTGTGCTAGAGGAAAATAAGATTTTCTTACCCGTTTGTAGCACTTTGACCAGTTGGACTGCACTATAGAAATATATTTTATTTTTTACATAACAAGGGAAGCATTTGGCCCTTAATGAAGACCCATCCAACAGCCAAGAGCTAGAAATCTCACTTGTCAGCTGTAGCTGCTGGTTGCCAAGAGAGCTGGAAATAGTTGTCAAAATAGCACAGATGGCTAGACCTTCTTCAGCTAGTCAAATGCCTCTTTCATAATTTCCATTACCATTGAGGTTGTTTAAATAAAATTGCCAAAGCCACAATACCAACACCACAGCCAATATATTGGATCTTTGGGTCTCTTCTGCTGCAATAACTGCAGTGCATTAACTGTTAAGCAGCCCTGTGGAATACAAGTGTATATGGCTACAACATGTCTCAAATATGGTCAATGCATCTCCCTTTAAATCCTTAGTATCCCTCAATTAATACCTTTACCCACAATAAATTGTTAAAACTACTTAATACATCTCCAGTTCTTAAATTTTACAAAAGCTGATCAGTAAGCATAGTAGCTCATATTCCAATACTTCACTTAAACACACACACACCCTCCCCCACAAACCATACCTACTTAGAAAATTTTATTTCCATACCTCATTCCTGAGGGAACAGTCAATGAAATTAAAAGATGGCAAGTTCAAAACCAATGAAAGGAAATACTTTTTCACACACTGCATACTTAAACTGTGGAATCCACTGCCACCAGAAGTTGTTGAGGCTGAGAACATACCAAATTCCAAAGACCACCACCACATTTATATGGATACCAAAAATATTGAGAAATATCATAATTAATGATAAATGGTGGAAGGGATATTAAACCTCACGCTCTCAAGGCAATCTTTAACTAAGAGATCAGGATAAGATCTTATGGGGGGCAGAAAATACCACATATACCTAACATGGGGTTCTTATACCACCCTGTACAGCATCTGGCAATAATCTCTGAATTTTCATCTTCTGAAAGTCTGAACCAGACCTTTAGTAATGTACATTTTGTGGTTTAGGTTTTTTTTGGGGGGGGGGGGGGGGTTAAAGTGCAGCTTTCCAACAAATCATGAGACTCTCTAAAATACTTACAATTTTCAAGCATCCTAATGGAACCAAAGTATCGGTTGTAGACTATTGTGTAATTAGACCGTCTGATGCACAGTATTTACTCATGTATGAAGTATAGTTGTAGCTCTGTTGGTCCCAGGATATTAGAGAGACAAGATGGCTGAGGTAATATCTTTTATTGGACCAACTTCTGATAGTCTGGAATACTACTAAGGAAATTTTGCCCTGTGGTGAGTAAATAATTATGTTCACAGAATGCCTTGAAACAAAAGCTTTTGGCATTAAAAGTCTGAAGAACTTTTGGTTGGGCAAATTCAGTTTAAGATATTCACTTATTTTCCAGGAGAAGATTTTTTTCTTTAACTTTCATATACACTTTATTGGCATCAAGTACTTTGGACTCACTAGTGTCACTCTCCTTTAGGAACCTTGGGAAATGAGGATGGAAATTCCTAAAGGGCAGTACAACATAAAAAGCAGAGTGTTACTCGCTCCATTATATTTACCTAGAAGGGAGGTTTCCTTACCAAAAGCGGCAGCCATGTTGGGGTCAAGGGAGGGCTGGCCATCGCCAGAAGGAAGGTCAAGGCGAGTGAAGTCTCTGCTTTTGTCATTGTTGTATTTTACATTAAGGCTTGTTAACTTGGAGAAATCGATACGCAGAGTGCAGCATGCATTGTAGATATTCTGGCCATCCAGAGCCTACAGAAAAAAGTGGTTGTAAAGTTTGGTAAATGTTTTGCCTTTTTATTCACATCTTTTTTTTGTTTGTTTGTTTGAAAAACAGCTTATTACCCAAATACAAATCCACACTAACAGCAACCTTTAAGAAGTTGTTGGTCCATTCCAGACTAGCCATCACCTTCAGCCAAAGATCCTTACTTTCTAGAATATTACTGTAACCTACTGGGTCAGTATGTGTTGCGTATCTCTCTCTGTGCCAAGCCACAGGGAATGGGGCCTTGTATGGCCCCCCTCTTCAGAGCCTGGTCTCCTTAAAGAATGCATCAGACTCATGCTTTTAAGCCTTGGACATCTTCCACATTTAAACTGCACTATAAAATAGTGGCAGTGATATTAGTTCGGGTTTTTTTGGAACAACAGACCACAGGAATTTGTGGATGTTGGCTTGAGAGTAGTAAATTAAAGTTACTCATTATAGAACTACCCCAACACCACTAGGAAAGAATAAATGAACTGACTTTGTCTTGTTCATCAAAATCTTTTCTGCACAAGCACACCTGAGTACTCCTCCTAGCACCTCATCACAAAAAACAAAAGAAAAAAAATCAGAGGCTATACATTTTCCACAGATTACCAGTTATGATTTCAGATTCTGTTATATAGAAATAGGAATAATGATCCGCAAATCGCTAGCTAACTTGAATTAAACGCCTTTACCAGTCAGTCACCTTAACTCCAAATAAAACATTCTTTTGGGATTGAAAACTTCTTTCACTCAATAGTTTACAAGTTATATGAAGACAGCAGAAAGGCCACCACAAAATGGCTACCAGGCTGGAACATGGAATGATCAGGTGATCATTAATCCCTCGGGTTGGATTCTCATTTAACGTGTGGCCATTTGGCACTGCCAAAGCAATGTAAAGAGGGCTTAAAGTGAGTGTAAGGTCCCTTTATGCTGGCAGAGCAGTGCAAAGTGGCCTTAACATAAATAAATATCAGACTTAGTACAGAATGTGAAGATTGATCACATTACTGACAAATAAAATGCATGTGCAATGCCTGAACTCTGGTCTCGAAATAAACATAAGAACATGATTCAGTTTGTTTGTAAATTTGCCTGAAATTAAGTCTACACATTTAGTTATTCATTTGGGACTTATTTCTCTTTCAGCTATGCAATTACCTGAAAAAATTAACATGAACAACCACAAAAGTAACATGCTCTGCATAAGGAAAGGTACAATAAAAAAAATTGTGTAGCGAGAGAAATCTCTTCCCTATATCAATGCTGACATTCTAAGAAACCAAAGAAAGATAAGCGGAAGTGGCATGCCTCAGGTCCATTTTCAAGAATCCGACCCGAGGGATTAATGATCACCTGATCATTCCATGTTCTAGCCTGGTAGATGAGGTTTGCAGAATGCCCTAAAGCTGGAAAGAGTCATGTTGAATCTCCTTCTGGTGTGCAGTTCCATAGTAAGGCCTGGTCCACAGAAATTTTGTACTGGTTTAACATTTGGTTAAAGGTGGGAATTTCCTTTTATTTAATGTCATACAAGTACAACACATTGCTTATACACCAGTACAGCTTATTCCTTGTCCTGTACAGCACAAGGAGAGTTGTATCGCCTAACTAGTATGACTTGTAGCATGGTCATATAGTTAAAGCTGCACAACTTTTGTACAACATGGGCTTAGCATAAATGAGTCAGGCTGACAAAATAAGACAGAATTGTTGAAAGTAAAAGCAAGATAAACTATCCAAAAACTTCAAAATTCTTATTTACAAATAAGTGATTCATGTTATGCAATATTGTTAGCCCAACGTCAAAACAAGTAAAATATGATTTTTAAAAGCTTTTTAAAAGAGTGACTAGATCATGAAGATTTCTTATCCAAGAACAGTTAAGCTAAACAAACTTTGTAGGGTATAGGCTACTATGCAATTTTAATAAATTAAGTTCACCACTTGTGAGTAATAAGTTCAAGGTAAGTTTCTCAGCCATTTTATTGAAAAGTTAGGGGCTTCTCAGCAGACAGCCCTAATCTATGGAACTGCACACCAGAAGGAGATCCAACAGGACTCTTTCCAGCTTTAGGGCATTCTGCAAACCTCATCTTGTCCAGAAAAAAACATATCAACACAAAACAGAAAGTCTGCAAAGAAGGGAAAGACAGTGGATCTTACTCCTACTTTGAACAGAACTTGCTGTTAATTTTGTAGTTCCAATATACCATAGTAATGGTCACTTTAGAAAAACATATTAGACTTTAAAAGCAGCAAAGAGTCCTGTGGCACCTTATAGACTAACAGACGTATAGGAGCATGAGCTTTCATGGGTGAATACCCACTTCTTCCGCACATGCATCCGAAGAAGTGGGTATTCACCCACAAAAGCTCATGCTCCTATACGTCTGTCAGTCTATAAGGTGCCACAGGACTCTTCACTGCTTTTACAGATCCAGACTAACACGGTTACACCTTTGATATAAGACTTTGTTTTCATGATTCTGAATTTACTACATTAGTTAATTAAAATATTTCAAATTTGTGCCTCCTGTCTCTTTGCAATCCATATTATCCAGCTACTTGATTTTGCATAATTCTGGTTTGACAGTTTCTTAGACTAGTGTCAGTAGCACAGAAATATAAATTCACTGCAGGATCAGAGAGAAACTGAGTTGAGAGAGAGAGAGAGAGAGAGAGAGAGAAAACAATTTCTGTTAATTTGGATTTCTTCATGTCACTTTAATATTAGCCCAGATAATATACGCAGCTCCTTTTGACATCAGGAGGAGACAGGAAATAAAGCAAAACTCGAGATGTTACTTCCCTATTCTATTCAAGCTCTTATTCAGCCCTCATCACCATAGCACATGGGCACCTTCTACAAGTGCATTTAAGCAACATAACTTGCATCTCTCACATGTAGTTCTTGCTCCCTTCCTCCCCTCCCCCCAGGGGTAAACTGGATGGAACTTTGAAAACTTTAAATATAAGTATGCTGAGCTGTACGTTTATATTAGCAAAGGGCAAGGTAGAAGAACAGTCCCTTGCACTTGGAACGAAAGTTCTCTGGTGGTTCTTAATTCCTGTGGAAGTTTGTTCTGGTCTTGAGCCAGCATGGACAAAGCTCTACCACAAGTGTAAAGCTCATCTGTGTTGGAGGCAGACAGCTCCATTGTACCTGAGTTGCTGACTGAAGCCCTGATCTCAGAGCTTTAGGTGCTCTTTTAGGTATCATGGGCCCAGCCCACTGAGTGTCCTAAAGGTAAGGAACAAGGCCTTGAATTTGACATGGTATTCTATATGAAGCCACCATAGGGACCAGAGGATAGGTTTGATGTGCTTGCAGTAAACTGTGCTGCTGCGGAGATGTGCTGCTGCATGCTGGGAGTAATGTAGATAGACTGGCTGACACGGCTCAGCTACAGTTCCTAAGCACCAACAGTTCTATTTATTCTAAGAGCTGCATAGAAAATAGTCCAGGAAAACATAGCCCTAGTTCCACTCCCACAAAAGCAATCAATCAATCAATAAATCAATAACCACAACAGGTGAGCCATCTATGATAGACTCTGGAAAAACCAATTAACAGATAAGTTACTACAATGTCCCAAAGAGTGAGTCTTATGGAAACAGAACAAGGTAAAAACACTTCCTGAGTAAGTAGAAGGTAAGAGAAAAAAGAATGAACTTTCTCTTGAGCAACACACAGGTAGGGATCCCTGCTTTAAAGAGCATGAAGTTCCCTCTCTTTCCTTGCTTAGATAGCCCCAAAGGCAATTTTAAGGGTAAGGCCTAAGGTTTTTCTTAGGTGTTAGGTTAAATGCCCTCTCAGGTATCTCTTAAGATCTCACATAATTAAAGGAGTGCAGAAAAACTTGTCAGCAACTCTGAACAAAGATCCTACTACATCCAGAGAGGAGTCAACATAGCTGTGTGTTGGCAGAGAAATGGAGAAGAGGTTGGAAAAAAACAACTCATCTAAAAATGTTCTACTCTCTCTAAATCCTTATCACTATGACTATGTGGTTGCAGACCCTCAGGACTTTATCAAGCCCATTCTGAAAGAAGGCAAAAAACCTTAGAAAATGTATCTAAAATGGTTTAAATTTCTGTACTTGCTTCAGGAAAAAACGGTTACTTACTTTTGTAACTGTTGTTCTTTGAGATGTGTTGCTCATGTCCATTCCATTCCAGGTGTGCATGCGCCGACATGCACAGTTGTCGGGGACTTTTGCCTTAGCGGTATCCGTAGGGCTGGCTGTGACCAGGGCCAGCTCCAGGGTTTTGGCCGCCCCAAGCAGCAAAAAAAAAAGCCGCGATCGCGATCTGCGGCGGCAATTCGGCGGGAGGTCCTTCGCTCCGAGCTGGAGTGAGGGATCGTCCGCCGAATTGCTGCTGAATAGCTGGACATGCTGCCCCTCTCCGAAGTGGTCGCCCCAAGCACCTGCTTGCCAAGCTGGTGCCTGGAGCCGGCCCTGGCTGTGACGCCCTCTGGAGTGGTGCTCTCACGTGGCGGTTTATCAGGCGCCGCCAGCCCTCTGCCCTCTCTGTTCCTTCTTGTCAGCAACTCCGACAGAGGGGCAGAAGGGTGGGAAATGGAATGGACATGAGTAACACATCTCGAAGAACAGTTACGAAAGGTAGGTAACCATTTGCTCATGTCGAGTCCAGTCTAAATGACTCACAAGCAGTATCTATGGAGGTGGGCTTGCAGTTCACCGCTTAGAGGCTTGCAGTACTGTTATACCAAAGCCAGCATCATCCCGGGCCTGCTGCAAAAGCACATGGTGGGATGTGAAGGTATGGACTGACAACCAGGTGGCCGCCTACAGATGTCCTGGATATGCACGTGTGCCAAAGAGGCTGCCGAAGAGGCCTGGACCCTGGTCGAGTGGGCGGTGACTATCGCCGGGGGCGGCACCTTTGCTTGATCATAGCAAAAGCGAATGCAGGCCGTGATCCAGGAGGAAATCCTCTGAACGGAAACAAGTTGACCTTTCAGCCT